GGATCACTTTGTAAATGTGCACGGGGATACTTTCAGTAGAATAATCCAGCTTTGTGTTTGCTTTCATCAAGTCTCTTCTTCCTAGGTTGGAGTTGGCATATTGATCACTGTTGTTTGTCTTTGCTTTTGGGAAATTTTGATGGATGTCAATGATGCAGACGTCGCTGTTGCTCGAGTGTGGATGCTCCAGATCGGTCTCTTGACCGTGCTCCTGTTACCATAAATTCCTCCTCCCCAGCCCTTCTTCCTTCCCCTCTTGACCATATCCTCACAACACAACAACAACAACAACAATCTGAATATTTATCATCAAACCAAGCCTCATTCTTATAATCCCACTCGCATACTCAATATCTCCGCAGGTCTTGGGCAATTCAGCCGAGTCCGACACTTTCTTTCCGAATGTCTTCCAGCAATGGCTTCTGGTGGTGGAGTTCTACTGCAGCTGGTGCTTCGACTGAATTCGATCGTCTCTTAGGTAAAGCTCTTCAATTTTCTTCCAGCGTTCTCATTTCATGACTAACTGACAAATCGCTGGTTGCTTCCATTCAGAAACTTGCACATCTTCCAATTTGCCCTCCTCCACTCCCCCTCCCATCACCCACTCCCTCAATCTATCCGACCTGATCAGATCCTCTGCCGTCCCTGCCTCACACGCCCTCAAATCTCTCCAGAAAAGGCTCGACCATACCAATCCCAACGTCCAACTCTTGGTCATCTCCGTCATCGACGTGTGTGTCAAGAATGGCGGGGATAGCTTCCTCAAGGAGGTCGGCGGTCGTGAATTTAGCGAGGATTGTGCTCAGATCATCAGTAATCCGATCTCCAATCGAGAAGTCAAGGAGAAGCTCAAGCGTGAATTCCAGAATTGGGCTCTGGCCTTCGAATCCGTACCTATGCTAGCCTCTTCCGAACTGGTGTCCAACTACCGAAGGCTCAAGACCATGGGAATCGAATTCCCTCCCAAAGATCCACTGGCTACTGCTGCCATGGTAGATTCTATGTCAGCACCAGAGTGGCGGGACAGCAGCGTCTGCGAACGTTGTCGGACTGCGTTCAGCTTCACTAACCGAAAACACCACTGTCGGAATTGTGGGGGTGTATTTGATGGGCAATGCAGCAGCAAGAAGCGAGCATTGCCTCACTTCGGTGTCACTGAATCTGTCCGAGTTTGCGATGGATGCGAACGAAGTCTGGCTGCTGGCGGTTCAGCTCCCAATAAATCCGGCTTGGCCTCGGGAAGGAGGAACAGCTTCTCTGGTGAATCATCACACCCATCTCAATCCAAGTTATCAGTCGGCCCGAATAGTCATCAACGTAGTGCTACGATACACTCTGGCAATTTAGCTCGCGCCACTCATCGATATACCAGCTCAACACCTGCACCTCAACACCTAAGCCACAGCGCACTGAGCCGTGAAGAAGCCGATTTGGAGCGAGCAATCGCACTCTCACTTCAGGAATCAGCCGCCTCACAGTTACAACGCGCATCATTCCCTCAAGCCACCTCAGCCCCAAGTCATCAATCCTATCATGTCACTCCTTCAAGACCACCCACTTCAACTCGTGAAGATGAGACTGACGAACCCGAGTTGGCTGCAGCCATTGCGGCTAGCCTGCGCGAAGCTCAACTAGCTTCTAATCCACACCCTAGTGCGCCTTCGCCTTCAAGAAGTCTGGAAACACTCCCCTCGAGACCCGTTAGTGCCCTCACATCGGCCAATACTGCTGTTGATATCAGATTTTGGCTTAATTGTTTTTATCCATTCTTAGCCCCTACCAGCCAAAAGTATCAGTGAAGAACATATCAACACTTTGCTCAATTTCTCGTCCGATGTCGATACAGCTACTAGGCTTGGTCAACTCGTTCCATCTAACACTGACCTAAACAATCGACATGCCCAAGCTCAGGTGGCTCGACTGGACTTGATCAGGGGTATCGAAAATGCCGAACGCAGAACTGGTGAATAATTTTATTATTAAAAAACCCCCCAATCCGGAGTAACTGATTATTTCATCTTGTGTTTTTGTTAGTTACTTTGAAGGAAATGAATGACAAGCTGTCTCAGGCCGTCAAGATGTACGATCGCCTCTTGAGCGATCAAATTATGTATCGCACACGACATGTAGAGTCATCCGGCGCTTCTGCTTCAAGTTAGTCAATCTTTGCTTCATATAGTCAATCCTCCAGGCTAATGCAATTTTTGCCAACAGCCTCCCAACCTTACGCCAATAACCCACCTTCTCATGCCGATCCATCCTACCAACCCACCTCAAATCAAGTGTTTGCCTCTAATCATCAACCTTCGATGTACTCGGCGCACAGGCCTAACTTGTCTTATCCCGGTCAAGCTGTTCCAATTTCTCACAACTTGACAAGTTCAACTCCTTTAGATTCCCAGATGCAAACTGAAGCCAATGCTTACCCTGTACAACCCAATCACCATCAGATGCCATCAAATTATCCATCACAGCAGTATGGGTATTCTGGTTTACAATC